CAACTCTTCTGTGTTGTTAGTGATATTTTAACCTAGTTCTCTTGACTACTGAGAAAGAGGTGTTAAAACATCCAATTAGATTATGATTTGTTTCTTTCTCCTTTTGGTCCTGCAATTTTTGTTTCATGAATTTTGAAACTGTTTTATTAGATGTATATCATTAGGATTGTTGAGTCTTCTTGATAAGGTGGATGCTTTTATAATTATGAAATAACACCCTGGTTATGTTCTTTATCTTGGATTTCTACTTGGATAATAACGAAAACCAGGCCAACTTTGCTATGGTTAGCATTTTTGCATAGCTTTTTCCACTGCAATATTTTTATCTTGCTCATTTTTATTTGAAATAAATTTTACTGAAATTTTAGGATGAATAGATGCATGAGGAAAGCGTTTTTAACTTCGGTGCATAGAGCTCCCCTTTTTCTTTGCTTTGCACAATAATCAGTACGTTTTACCTATTTTCTTTGTTCTTGAGTTTTTCCTGCACAATCTGAATTCCACTGTCAGCATTTTCTCTCAATGCAGAGCTTAGCCCTAAAAGGGAGTTTCTTTTGGGTTAGTTAGTACTAAGAGTTCATATAGCTCAGATGCTCCCAGCCCTTTCAGAAGTTACTGTACATCCCTTCTTCTGTTCCATGCATTCAAATGTGTAAAACTTCTTCCAGTTTCAGCACAGTTCTCAGGTTAGCCCTGACACTTTTCAGGAATACTTGTTTGTAATTTGGGGATTCTTCTGCTTTTAGGAGAGTTTTCCTGTTGCTTCCCTCTGCTTCCGCCTATACAGATGATGTTACCACGTGGGTTTTATGTTGTGAGTAGTTTGTCCTTAGCTGTTTGTAATTGTGAGGTTTGTTGGGGACATTAGATACCTAGGTCTTTGTAGATATCTCCCTGTGAGCTTTGATTTTTAATATTAGTTTTTCTTTCCTTTTTTGTGTGAGATTCAGAGAAATTCCAAAATGATTCTGCTTCTGTAGCTATCATTTTAGAGCTCTGCAGGTACCTCGATTCCATTGCAGAGAAGTATATTCGTACTGTCTGATGTTTGTAGCAAAAGAGGTGTGGTGTTGATCTATTCGAGAAAGAATCCAGATCAGAGGGATCTTGATTGTTCAGTGACATCTAGAGTTATCTGTTATTGTAATTAATGCAGTTTTTTAATATAACCGCACATCTTTTTTTTTTTTTTCATCACCAGACTGGAGTGCAGTGGTGTGATCTTGGCTCACTGCAACCTCTGCCTCCCAGGTTCAAACAATTCTCTGCCTCAGCCTCCTGAGTAGCTGGGATTACAGGTGCCCAACAACATGCTGGGCTAATGGTTTTTGTATCTTCAGTAGAGGCAGGGTTTCACCATCTTGGCCAGGCTGGTCTCAAACTCCTGACCTCCTGATCCAACCACCTCAGCCTCCCAAAGTGCTGTGATTACAGGCGTGAGCCACCGTGCCTGGCCTATAACTGCACATCTTTTGTTTGTTTGTTTGTTTGTTTGTTTTGAGACAGAGTCTCACTCTGTCACCCAGACTGGAGTGCAGTGGCACAATCTCAGCTCACTGCAACTTCCACCCCCCAGGTTCAGGTGATTCTCCTGCCCCAGCCTCCTGAGTAGCTGGGATTACAGGCATGCGCCACTGCACCTGGGTAATTTTTGTATTTTTAGTAGAGATAGAGTTTCACCATCTTGTCCAGGCTGGTCTTGAACTCCTGACCTCATGATTCAACCCCCTCAGCCTCCCAAAGTGCCGGGATTACAGGTGTGAGCCACCGCGCCCGGCCTATCACTGCACATCTTTTAACTATTACATCTTCCTGTGCCAGGGTCATTTTGAGGGAATCTCACAGAGAAGCCTGTGTAGTAAAGAAAGTCCTGGGTAAGATGTCTGTCTTTTTGTAGTGAATCCTGTATTGCTGTAGGGTGGCTGGGATCCTCCTGGTTTCAGATTTAAATGAAGGAAATAATTCAGAAAAGATGGAATCTAATCTCTACCACCCACCACCCAAATTGGTCTCTTTCATGTTATGCAAGTTTGCATTCGCTGAAGGCTACCTAATGCTGGACAGGATTACATGACCAAAAATGCTTCTGGCATAAACGATACCTTGATAATCTGTAGAAATTATTGTCCTATTTGCTTTTTTTTTTTTTTTAAGCATTTACACTTTATTTCAGGGAGCGGGATGGCAGAGTACAGTTGGGACAGCGCTTGTGATCATCAGATAATTCTTCTGGACACTCCATGTCACACACTCAAGAACACTTACTTTTTCACCATGGCCACACGAAAAGAAATAGCTGCCAATATTTGCTTCTTTTCATTGAGACTCATGCCAATAATCAGGTTCACATTTGACTTTAAGTCAATTGTTGGATACACATTTGGCTCACAGGGTCATAAAGTTTTGTGCAAAGAACATTTTTATTGAAAAAAATTTGCCTCTTAGAAAGTTAATACATATTTTACTACTTTAGTTTATAACTTGCAAGGTACTTTAATCTTCATGACAGCCTTCAAAAGCTGGCATTTTTTTCCACTTATAGATGAAAACACTGAGGCTCAGAAGTTAAATTACCTGCCTAAATCTATGTGGGTAATTTACGATAGAGCCAAGAAGAAATTATTGAATAATCAGAATAATTATCACTAGTATCGGAAGCCTCTGTGCCTACTGGTAACTAAAAAAATATCTTCAGAGAACATGATCACATGAGAATTTGTTAATACATCATCCCCAATTGAATTAGTTATAATTTACAGAATATTTTAGGAACTATATATTTATATTTATGTAATATGCAATATAAAATAATATATATAACATGTACTATAAAATACGTTTGTGTTAACACATTCAACAAACACTTTGGCAATTCATTTTTACCCATTGGATTTCAAAACAATTGTTTATGATCTGTTTTACAGTTGAAAAGCTGGTGCACAATGGTGTGAAATGGTTTGCTGGTCATAGAGTCAGGATTCAGTATTCCATGTCTCCTCATTCTAAATCTTATATTCTTTGCTTTTTATACCATGCTTCCTTATGATAAAACTTTCAAAATGTTACAAGATAGCTGAGTGGATGAACTAGCTATTACAACTTACATATTGCTGCCCAAACAGATGGGCTTGCCGTGTAATAGTCAATTTTATGAAGTACAAAGACCAGAGCAATGATGAAAATGGATAAATGGATAGAAAAGACTTGAGACCTAACTTCAGCCTAACAGGTCATACATTCTCTTTAGGTATATAAGGAAAGTGACCAGTTTTCCAAGAAGGTGTTTATGTGTTTATGTTATCAGTTTTAGTAAAATATGACCCAGATATATCTTAGTCTACTTGTGTTCTCTGCCATCTATTCTCCGGGCAGTTCTGACGCCATCAACACATTCCACTGACTCATTCTAATGTCATTACCGTAGCTGTGGCAGCCAGATCCTCACGTAGCATAGCCGCTTCACAGCCTGACCCTTTCTCAGGATTGATTGACAGTACTGTGTCATTTTTCTAGTGGGCTAAGGAGAAAAATATAACACCTGAGATCCACACCTTTGATTAAATCAGACTTGTCATCTCTGCCTAGAACTTAAAAAGCTGATATCCTAGGAACCTTGCTGCTCAGAGACAGCCATAGGGAAGTTTAAAATCAGAGCAGATTAGGCATACATTGGTAACCCACAGCTAAGAGTAGCTGTGAATGTTTGTTTTTGCATGTGATGCTCTGTTACCTTCTGAGCAAACTCACCTTAAAGATCTCAGTATTTTTAAAAATTAGCTGGATATGGTTGGGGGGAGCACCTGTAATGCCTGCTACTTGGGAGGCTGAGGCAAGAGAATCACTTGAACTGGCAGGTGGAGGTTGCAATGAGCCAAGATCGTGCCATTGCACTCCAGCCTGGACGATAGTGTGAGACTCTGTCTCAAACAGACAACACAGTATTTTAATGCTCATATTATTTTTCATGGTAGAGATTTGAAATCAGCTATGGCAAGCTGAAAGCACACAGAGATATGTGTAAGTATATATGTTAGGGTATGTATGTACGTATATGTATATATACATATTCTTAGTTTCTGAGCAAAATCAAGTGCCTTCGAAATTTCTACTTCAGAGTAGATCAAACTTGACTTTTTGTGCCGCAGAAATAGTGCTGGCCCTAGGCCAAAGATAGAAAAAAATGGACAAGTTTATTTGCATGCCACCCGCTTTGCAGCCTCTCTGGCCTTAATCTAAACCATCCTCTCACTGCAGGGGTATCAACTGTGTCGGTCAGGATCCTTTTCAGGCCATCACCTATGGGACTAGAAGACTTTGGTTAAGTCAGAAACCTACCGTTTACTAGTGATACGTTCTTTGTCAAATAACCACTTTGAAACTCTTCTGAGCTCCATCTAGCTGTAATATGAAGCAGCCTCTGAGCAGCACCTTCTCCAGACTGACCCTGAGCAGCCTACTGTCACAGTGCTGGCTGCCATATTGGTTCCTACTCAATGGTAGTACCATGGTCTCTGATGGGAGACTTTGTCACCATCTGCTGAGACTCTTGCTTTTTATCCCCTCAAACAATGTAGGAAGGCAAATAGTATGTAAGGAATATAATATAAATACGGACTACATATTAGTTTGGGAACACATGGTCGATAGTTTGTTTGTTTAGAGTTTAGAAAGAAAATATAGGCCCACCGCTTCCAATATGTCTTACCTTGATGACAAGTTCATTTCTGGAGTATGGCCAGCACATAGTGATTAATTTTGAAAATAGAACTGGACAAGGGGTAGTTATTAGTACATGGAGGATTCTTGGCAGTTGCTACTAACTATATCCACAACTGTTAACATGAAACCATAAGAGAGCTACTGTTGGTGCTTGAAGAGATTGAGCCCTCTAGGTAATAATAATTGTGCATGAATGAAATCAGCATTTGGGTAGAGAAAGAGTATCCCATATTGGAAAGTAATCATGGCTTTTATGCTCTTATGTATGTGTGATTTGACAGCTTTTTGGAGACTACAGCATATTTCTTCATGAAACCAAAACTTGGAGAGAAGGAGGTGTCCCCAAATGTTTTCTTCAGTATCTGGCATGAATTCAGCTCTGACTTTAAAGACTTCTGGAAGAAAGAGAACAAACTTATACTACAAGAGAGGTAGGTATTTTCATTTGCACAATGGCATTTTAAAACTGGTGTTTTATTAGGTGTGGCACCACTGGGGTTGCCAATTTTTATAGCCTGAATAAAAAATTAAATGTCCCTCAACCTGGGGTAGCAAGTTGAAGAAGATGCTGACATTTGGCAAAATGTGGAGTTTTAATAGGAAGAGTCAGGATAGAAGCTGGGGCACTGCAGAGAATAGCTGGGGTGCTGGTTTGCCAGGACCATTGTCTGGTAAAACAACTTCTGTTATGAGGAAACCATGTAAAAGTGACCATGTAAGAAGGCTTTGCACAACCCTGCTACGATGGCAGACCCACTCACTTCAAAGACTATAAAGGTAAAAGGAATAGTTTGCTCAATTCATGGGATATTGTCAATTTACCATTCATATTAAAACTTCATCCAGATATCACCAAGAAACACAGATGTCAATATTTTTTAAGAGACCTTTCATGATTCTTGTAGAATTGTGTGACACTGTAAAATAAATCTTTTCAGGAAGGGAAATTTCCCCTCTTCAGTATATGGAATAAAGTCTCTGCGATTATGAAATTCCATAGAGGCATATTAAATATTAAGTCGTGAAGGTGGCTAGCCCTCCCTGGGCAGCATCCCCAAATAGCTGTATCTAGTGGGAAAATAAAGGGAAACATAATCTATACTATAAAGTAAGCCACAAACCAATTAGTATACTTCCTAACATCGCTAACAATGACTTTGCTTCAGATCTTTAGAAAACTTAATCCTGTGGGCCAGGGGCAGTGGCTCATGCCTGTAATCCCAACACTTTGTGAGGCCAAAGCAGGCAGATCACTTGAGGTCAGGAGTTCGAGACCAGACTGGCAAATGTAGTGAAACCATGTCTTTATTAAAAGTGCAAAAATTAGCCAGGCATTGTGGCAGGCACCCATAATCCCAGCTGCTCAGGAGGCTGAGGCAGGAGAATCACTTGAACCCAGGAGGCAGAGGTAGGTACAGTGAGCCAAGATTGTGCCACTGTACTCCAGCCTTGGCAACAGAGCAAGACTCTGAAAAAAAAAAAAAAATAGAAAAAGAATGAAAAAGAGAAAAGAAAACTTACATCCTGAGAAACTTTGTTCACAAAATTCCACTGTTTTCTGCTTACTGTCTTCATTTTGGTCTGCTTACACATGATACCATGGCCGTTCGCCTGGTTTTCAGTTGAAATTAGATTTTGATACCTCCTTAAATTAGATGAATTAATTGGTAATATTTGTTGAGCCTGTAAACTATGCCAGATTTGCACTCACTTCTATAATTAATTACTTAGATTCCATAGGCCTGTCATAGAAGAAACGATCCTCAGTGAATAGTAGGTGGAAAAAGAAATGGTTTGAACAGAAGGAAACCCTTTAAACATCTACTCTAAAGATAATGCATTTATTCTACTTCCAAATGCATCAGTAGGTGTCAATGTAAATGATGAGCTTTTAGTTAAATTTCTATGCAGGTGGGTAGAAGAGAGATTGCTTAGAAATAAGTGTCTTTGAATCACTGTTCTTTGCCTTCAGACTAAGTCACGTATTAAGTGATATTTTCTTTAAAAAAAAAAAAAAAAAACCTGCTCAGTTTGGAAAATTGTAAAAAGGAAGCTTTTTTTTAACCTTAGGACATCACATATAACTTCCCTTCATGCCCTTCCCTAAGTCCCTACATCCCTCCTTTTACCTCTAATCTAAACCTGGTCCCCTAGTAAAGGGTTTGAAACTCATTCACACTAAGGTTCAAGACGAAAAGAGTCATATTTCCCCTTAGGCGATTATTTTCATCATGTCTAAGATTAGAGTCCTCAATGAGAATGGGAATGGTGTGATTTTAGACATCATCAGCAAGATGGGACTGATGACGCTGTCGCTTTAGAGTAGCTGGTCTGACACAGATCACAAGCTAGTGCATCGCAGCCAGAGAATGGCTTGGTCTTGTCGTGGAGGTCCCAGACCGAGGATGCTGGACACCCTTCTTGTCGCTGTCTTCTGCTAGCATAGACCAGAATATAAGCTGGAGGGATGCTTCCTCAGAGAAGATGTTGAGAGGGACCAATTCAGATGCATTGCTCCCTAGCGTCCTCACAGTCCCGTCTAATACGCGCCCTGTGACAGCCTCCTCACTGTCCCATCCAGCACATGCTCCATGTGATAGACTTGTTTCTAGGTGACATTTTCAATAACCACACATTGTTTGCTGACATTGTATACATCTAACCTGCCCACAATGAGCTTTCCTTCACTCTCGAAGTATCTCGTACAATCAGCCAGATCCGTGTTTTTAACGCCTTAGCCTGGGCTTGTCACGTCCTAGAAATATGCGATGCGCTTTGGGCTCACACTTGGTGAGTTTACATTCATGTTTGCAGGGCTGCGGATTGGCAGTTTACAAGTGCTCTTTACTGCAGACTTCTCAACTTTCTAAATCATTTGCTTTTAATAAAGGGCTAAGGAAGAGCACGTGTCAGGTGAGAGAGTGCTGCTTTGCCCTTTGACTTCCAAAATCCATTACCCTCTTGGCAATAATAAGCAAGTTGCTTGGGAGAGCAAACCATTGGTTGGAATTGTTTGCAGAACAATTCTGTTCCTTTCCTCAGTGAAGGACAAACTGTGTACTTTTTAGGAAACAGTGAAAAATGAAAAGGCAGAATTTCTTGTATAAAAATTAATAATTTCAAGACAGCAAAGCATTAAACCAAGCACAGAGCTCTTCTAAGGGTGCTGCCCCACCTGGCTGCCCAAGTGCCCACCTATGCCCCACTTTGGTGTAAACTTCATATTTTCTGTAATTAAATGGAAAAGTATTTCAGAAATGTTTTGAATGCCCTGGGACATGGATAGGAAATCACAGTGTGGTCATTTAAGAGTGTGAAAGTTCTTGTACAGTTACTGTCAGTGTGGGATTTCAAATACTTAAAACAGGATGTGGTTCTCAACCCGTTTCTCACCTCTGCACTCCCAGACCATTTACTATCAACCTGTTTTCTTCAGTGGCTGATCTTATACTGCCTAAGAATATGTCTATTTTATACCATTACTTTTTTGATATTTACATGTTGGTCTTTTTTTTTTATTGTATTAGGAGCTACTCAGTGTTGTTTGGGATTAGTGTCCTCATATCTGGTACAGCTCTGACTTGTCACAAGCTGCACTGCCTTTCCCCTCTTTGTGTCTCCATAAGTATTTGCTGACTTGACTTGTTGCATCATTACGTCTGGCACAGACATGGAAGTAAGAACTTAGCCTAGTAAAGTAACGAACATGTTTTCTTGCATAACTTGAGTTGATCATTGTAGGTAATAAAAACACTGTTCTGAATACCTCAAAGCAAAAAGAGAGATGGGTGGGGGCGGCGGGGAGAGAGAGAGATCGATTTTATTTATTTAGACAGTCAAACCACAGAAGGGGAAGAGTGGAACTTGCCTGTGGAAGGCCTGAATGCAGAATTCTACCTGCTGGGAGTGGGATTAGTCAGCCATGTGTGTCTGTACCTCTCTCTTCTGTGATCCATGTGTCTTTTTAAATGTCCTCTCTCTATTCTTTCTCTTTCTTTTTCCTCTTCTTTCTCTCACCCTATCTTCCCAATTCACCACCCTCCTTTATAGTTTAGCTTTAATTTCTAAACCAGGCTGTTATTTAGCTGTCAACCACTGTCATGGCTTATATTCTCATAACCCAGGAGAAGAGAGCAACCTCCATATCCATCTACAAAAATACCAGGGAGGAACTCCAAATGAATTGTGTCCCTCTCTGGATCAGCCCTGGTGATAGCATGGTTAGCTCAGCAGTTCGCAAGTCTGATCCTGAAGCGAGAGCGGAGTGTTACCATGATTGACAGTTCCCTTTAGAGCAGCGTTTTTGAAGGAAGAACAGTTTTCCCCAAAAAGTAAACAATAATCTTCTGGCCTACTTTATTAAGCCTTGAAAAGTAACCCATGTGATTACTAGCAAAATGTCTTAGCATGGTAGAAATAACCTGAAAGATCATGTTAATGGTGTCCTTGAAAGTTTTCTTTCTGATAGAATTTTCCTGGGACTAGTTTGGTATGTATAGATTGAAAAATATCATGGTTTTAAACCCTGTATAAATTTTTCTTATGCTATTATTTCTAATTTGTGTCTGATTACAGAGTGATCATAATAACTCTATTTTCTTACTTTGTCCTGATGACTCATATGATTTAGTTTCTATATTTCTTGAAATAGTGAATTTCTCCACATCCATGTTGGACAGGGATGCTGTCTTTCTAGTCAGCGTGGTTTGGTTTTCTAAGTTAGCTCCGCCACTTACTGGCTCCAGAATCATAAACAGTCAATTATTTTTCAAGACTCAGTTTCCTAATCTATAAACTAGAAATGATAATACTATCTGGCAGTGTTATTGTGTAGAGTAAATGACATGATGTATTTGAAGTATATAGCCCAGTATCCACCTTCTCAATGCCTGTACTGTTTTTCCATCATTTAATAAAAATAATATACCAGTCATGGCTCCCTACAAGGTGACATAACATTGATAAGGCATGTTAAGCATCTTAAGAACATAGTCTGTAAACACAAAGTATCAGTTACATTCTTGGTTAGGTAAAATATCTTGGTTGTTAATTCAAAAATGCACTTTTGTTTGGAAACGTTCATGTAACCTATCCCTCCCTATTTACACTGGGTGATACAATGGACACAAATCAACTGACCCATTGGTTTTGTCAGGAGTCAGAAAAATTGTTTTTTCATCTAGTTGGAACTAGGCATGTACAATTGTTAATAAGAAATCCTTTTTTTTTTGAAAAAAGAAATCTAGACGTGTCTGTCATTACTGAGCAACACAAAATATGTGCAAGTATGTATTTTTTTTAATTTCAATTTGTCTGTATTCGCCAGAAGATGGGAAGGGGAGACCAACATTTACTCTACCAAGCATCTCCCTAAGGCCTCACAGAGCGCGGTTGTAATAGGTAAGGAGATAGGCCGTCTTCACCTCTTATT